CGTGACGTGACTCTGGACGAACAGCTGAAATGTGACGAGGCTCTAACAGATCAGCTGAGACTTGACTTGACTCAGGAATGGAAGCTGTGAGTTGACTTGACTCATGACGATCAACTGTGACTTGACTTGACTCATGAAGATCTGTTGTGACTTGACTTGACTCATGAAGATCAGCTGTGACTTGACTTGCCTCATGACGATCGGTGATGATTTGACTTGACTCAGAATGATCAGCGATGACTTGACTCGTGATTGGCAGTTGTGACAGAACGGGGCACTGTTGTGTCCACCATTTTGCGATCAGGCTCTGCTGTCGTCGCCATTTTGTGAGCGTGCTGTAATGCGGCCGCCATTACATGAGTGAGTGTGGTGTCGCGTTCCTCTCAAACTCACAATTAAATTCCATATTTCAAATCAGCAACAAAATCTGAAATCTCTGAAAAATCTGATCTCAAGTAGCGTTAAAAAACATATTTTCAGGCTAGACCATCTGTTATATAAAATTAAATTTAATTGGATTTGAGAAACATGAAAGGCAAACTATTTTAAACAAGTTGGATTGTTGCATTTTATTTAGAGCCCGACCGATATATCGTTTAGCCGATACTCAGGTGTGATAAACCGCAGTTTTAAGAGGGGGGCAAACACTTCTTCACACAGGGTCATGTAGTTTTGGATTTTGTTTTCCCTTAATAATAAAAACCTTCATTTAAAAACTGCATGTTGTGTTCACTTGCGTAATCTTTGACTAATATTAAAATTTGTTTGATGATCTGAAACATTAAAGTGTGACAAACATGCAAAAAAATAAGAAATCAGGAAGGGGGCCAACACTTTTTCACACCACTGTATATTCTGTTTATGTATATACTGTATTCTATATAGACCTATAGTACCAGTCAAATGTTTGGACACACGAATAGGAAAGTGTCCAAACTTTTGACTGGTACTGTACTATAATATACACAAAGAATATCGGCCGATATATATCGATATCGGCCTTTTTTTTTAACTCCCTAATATCAGTATCGGCCCCAAAAAACCCATATCGGTCGGACTCTAATTTTATTATAAAAATATACTTTGTTACTGTGTTTTCTTTGTATTTGTAAGGTGCTCTGTTACAATCCTATTCCAGTTTCACTTCTCATAAAAATATAATTTCTTGCATACATTTTGATTTCTCAACAAATATTTTATCAAAATGTATATTTTATTCACAATTACTGCACTCCTGCTTCTGTTAACACAAAAGAAGATTTCAAGCACATTTAACACCACAAACGGCACCTGTCTTGTAAACTGACCCACATTAAATATCAGAATTTTCATTAAAAGTTTGATGAATGATAGAAGTTTGTTCAGTATAAAATACTCCTTTAATGTGCATTTTGTTCCAGTGTACAGAGATAAAAAAACAAACAAACATGTACACATACAGACAGACATGTTAACCTCACTGCTTATTTTGTCAGATTTCCATGGGTGAACTACTTGGACACTAATCTCAACATCTCCATCCCTGTCTTCAGTGTGCATGGTAACCATGATGACCCAACTGGGGTAAGATAATACTTCAGTTTATCTGCTCTGTACAAATTAAATAATATTGTTTTCAGGTAGTGTTTGTCATATATTGTGTTTTTAATTAGTAATATTAACACTTACACAGTCTATGCACTAACCGTCAGTGGTGGAAAGAGTACTGAAAAAATATACTCAAGTAAAAGTACCATTACCTTCCAAAAAATGTAGTGTGAGTAGAGTAAAAGTACTTGTCCAAAAAACTGCTTGAGTAAGAGTAAAAGAGTAGCCTATTTAAAAGTACTCATGAGTATTGAGTAGTGAGTACTGAGCTGTGGATTCTACCCCCTCATAATAAACACTGTACACCGCAATTGATACATTTTAAAAACGTTGTACATTCTGTAATTCACATTATCTTGTTTGTCATAAAGAATGAAGAATATCTATCATCCAACAGTTTTAATTTTGACTGCCAACTCTTTAAAATACATCAAAACAGCACAGAAACAGTATTCAGTTGAAGAAAAGATGAAAGTTATTCTCAGTACAATCATCCCCATTTAAATCATAAAGTTTGAAAAAATAGATTTAAAATCATCTGTAAGGCCACTGAGACAGCATATGCTGTTGACTTATCCAAGTGACCGCTGCAGAACGCACGCGAGAGAGAGAGAGAGAGACGAGGCAGCGCAGATCGCGCGTCTTATAAGTGAGTGGGAATTTACCGAACGTGGCACTTGCGGGAGTTAACACTGTATGCAAAACCCGCAACCTCACACCCAATTTCAGGCCGTGTAGATAGGCAAGCATATATACTAATCATTTAGTAAGCAGAAATTCGAAATTTACCTTAACATATTAAGTTGGAGGAAGATGCAACTGAATTGATGCTTGAAAAATGCACTTCCAGCAGCCATGATAAACAGTTGGCGGTTAAAGTTTTCTATGCACAATTTGCTGTGACAAAAGTCATGAGACCTACTATCTCTCTGTCCAATCACGTTGATGGATAAAAATAAAATTAAAATAAGCATGTAACGACCACAAACAGAGGAAAATAGCTGAGTAAAAGTACCGATACATCACTTAAAATGTACTCAAGTAAAAGTACAAAATTTTTAAACTACTCAAAAAAGTACAATTACTGATAAAAAAAACTATTTAATTACTGTAATGTGAGTATTTGTAATTCATTACTTCACACCCCTGATAACCATCTGCTGCATATATTGTTGGGAAACACAGCTAGCTGACTAACTGACTGATAAAAACTACTTAATTACTGTAACGTGAGTATTTGTAATTCGTTACTTCACACCCCTGCTGATATATCATTTTTACTGATTAATTGACAGCTGTTTTTTAAGGAACTTTTTTTTTCTGCTTGTCTACATCTGCAAGTCTTTGGTTCTACAGTTTAAGAGCACCCTCTAGAGGTGAAAAACAGCAATATGTGACACATTGACTATGTTTTGTACATGAAGAAGTGGATCTAAAATGTGGCAAAGATCAGCCATGTTATGTATACAGTATGTGCTAGCACATATAGTCGTGGTACAATAAGTCAACCAGTTAAGACAATTAATTTAATAATTAATTTATAACCATTAATGTTCAGATTGTGTCAACGCTCTTGGCAACGCTCATATATATTAATTTTAATTTACTTTTTTTCTTTCCGTTTCACAAAGACATTTCTCAACAAAAATCAATGTAATAGCAAACTAAGCACATTTAATCTCTCTCTCTCGTCATATTATTTTTGGGTGTGTTTAAATTAAATATGATTCTTTTTTTTCTTTTTGTCTTGTCCTCATTATCGTTGAGAAAACCTAATAACTCCTTTTTGGGACTTATGGCGGATCGCTTAATGCTTATGGGAGGTCCGGGACCAACCCCCCCCAAAAAATACACTGTAACTAATTGCTGAGAACTGCGTATTTGTTGCCAGAGTTAGAGCATAAATTGAGCAGTTTTTAGTCAATAATGGAAAGGGTTGCAGCCAGGTGAGCCGTACATTTCTGGCCACAGGTCCCTATGGCCACCTATTAATGCGTCATGCCAGGACCAACTAGGAATGCATCACAGTTTTAACAAGAATCACGATCATCGTGCTTAAGGTCATTGCTAAGCTAAGTCATCCACTACTGACTAAATGGCAACTCTACCTTCATATTTCAATCTGCTGGACAGACTACAACTCTTCCATTCAGTCAAATGTCAGCGCGTCGTTTTCTGACCTTCAATCAGAAGGAGCTGATGCAAAATGTTTGAATAATATCAATCTACAATTCTGACTTGTGATGTAGCCTGCATCATACCATGTTCGTTCTTTGGCCAGAGCAGAACTGGACCCTTGACTGAGCCTGGTTTCTTTCAAGGTTTTTTTTTCTCCATTTCTGTCACCTGATGTTTGTTTGAGTTGCTTGCCACTGTTGCCTTTGGTTTGCTTAGTTGGGGTTTAAAAGACACTTTATATCCAGTAATATTATACTGTATATTTGACTACACTAACACTTTCGGACGAGGACAAAGCTTGCACTGAATTTAGCTGAATAATTAAATTTTTGTCTTCTGTAGAACTGCATTTGTAGCTGAATTGAATGTTTCATAATTGACAGATTTCGCAACATCAACACTTATTCAACTGAATTGAATCAACACTGAACTGACTCGTTGAATAGTGACATTTTTGTCTTCTACAGAGCTGCTTATAGCTGAATTGTAGTCATAATTAATAATTGAGCACAGTTATTGAACTGAACCAACTTGAGACTGAATGTCAGTACTGTCTTTTAAGAGCTGATATATAGCATACTGTGACATATACACATTTTTCTTCATTATTAAAGGGGTCATATGATGTTGCTAAAAAGAACATTATTTTGTGTATTTGGTGTAATGAAATGTGTTTATGCGGTTTAAGGTTCAAAAAACGCATTATTTTCCACATACTGTACATTATTGTTTCTCCTCTATGCCCCGCCTTTCTGAAACGCGTAGATTTTTACAAAGCTCATCGGTCTGAAAAGCGAGGTGTGCTCTGATTGGCCAGCTATCCAGTGCGTTGTGATTGGCCGAATACCTCAAGCGTGTGAAGGAAATGTTACGCCCCTTACCATACTGTGATGCCCTGTCCGGCCGGAGCGACGAGACAAAAACATTAAAACCCATTATAAACGAGGCATTTGTTGCATCCAGTAGGGACATAATTACGGATTATAATGACATATAGCGCCGCGTAAACATAAAACCATGTCTGCATTTGTGATCAGAGAAACGACAAACAACAAGCGCTACTCTACACTGCTCAAAACTCGCGTTTGAATCATCAGTGGCAAATCCTTAAAATGAAAACGTACTTACAGTCTGTGAGTCAGAACAACCGGCATTGTAGTCTACTCTACCAGGATCAGGAAACAGTCCTCCATAAAATGTGCTGCACACATCTGAATATTTGGGTTGAACTGTTCTGGAACAGTGTTGTAAATACAACTTAACCACTGATTTCTAGTCGTGTCCTCTTTTGGAAGACCAAACAAAGTAGTTTCGCTTTCACAACGAAACACACAAGGCGGGCTAGAGTGAGCGGAGGCCGGCAAAAGACCAAACAAAGTAGTTTCACTTTCACAACGAAACCCGCGGCGGCCTAGAGTGAGCGGAGGCCGGCGGCTAGAGTGAGCGGCGTCGGGCGGGCTTGAGAACGGCGCGGGTTGATGTGCCTAACTGGATGGTGAAATTGTGATTAAACAATGGGTTTGCTGGAACCACAAGCAGTTCTGTCTTGGCAACGTTGAGTTGAAGGTGATGGTCCTTCATCCAGCAAGAAATGTCTGTTAGACAAGCTGAGATGCGAGCAGCCTATCGTCTTAATTATTATTAATTATCATTAATTAATTATCATTATTAATTATCGGAATTAATAAGGTAAACCTTATTCTAGATTCAACAAATAAATTGAGAGATTATTTATTAACTGGCATCAGTTATATAAAATCTAATGCAAATTAGATAATCATAAACTGACAATAGACACTAATGCCAATGGTTTCTGGAAAGATGTTTGGAAAGAGTGATGTTCCGCGTCTGGGCCGCAACGTCTTCCACATGTTTCCTTTCAGATCCAGCGTTTTGATTGGCCAATGCTGTCGGAGGTGGCCATGGTATAGCCCCTCTCTGGCATGAGGTCTATTTGCATAGCCTAAAGTCAACGTTTAGAACAATGTCTTTAAGGTTTTTCCTATGCATAATTTACTTTTCAAACCAATTCCAGATTAACCTGTTAACCCGCACCTGGACGCCGGCGCACTGAACGCTCTTTGTTTGCACGTGTCAATGTTTACGAATAGATTAAATGAAAAGGGACATAATTAATCTTGACAAACTATATATCATTCTAAAGGTCTAAGCCTCAAGCATCAACGATAGATCACTGTTTTTCAATGGAAAGCTTGTATTTGTAACCACTGAACAACATCCCATAGAGCACTTTTAGTCCAATGAAGCAATAATGTTGTAATATGGAAGGTAATTCCTTTGTTTACGTCTCATTTCTTCGGGGACCGTTATTGTTTGTATCTGTTATGGAATATCAAAAAACTGTATTTCTGTCAGACACTCAAACCAACTTGGTCAACAATAACTAGCTTTCGGACGTTCTTGCTTACTGCTCTGCGCTTTGCTTCCTATTTCTGTACTTTTCTCAGATTTTTCTCAGATTTTTACTTCAGCAGATCAGCACAGTGCTCAAACAACACATTTCTGGCACAAACACTAAAACTAAAAACTCTTTGGGACTGGAATAATACCACGAAAATTAAGACTTTGCCTCCCACTGCCAGCAGCTTACTTTCCGGAGACTGGAAAACACAGCTGTCTACATTCAAACAGAAGAGAAAGAAAATGCCTCCTGTTGAATTTACTTGCTGCATAAACTGCCACAAACTTCTACAAAGGATTGCGGTTCTTGAAACAAAGTTACTTGCTGGACTTCCAAAACAGGCAGAACACTCAGCAGTCGTCACGGACCCCCTCAGCATACAGCCGGTGAGTCCCATGAACCTAGTCAATCTCAACAGTTTATACCAAGTGTAGAGGAACAAGCCGAAACTGATTGTCACACTAATCGATGGCACAAACAGGGAGCGAGACCCAAAGGCAGTAGAGACATCAGATTGTCACGAGTTTCTCGTATTGCTGCCATAGTATCCTCTACCCCAGATACGGCTATGACAAGACTTGTGCAGCAACCGTTTCTGATGTAAACAAGGAACTTCGGAAAATTCTAATGAAGCACCAGACTGCGAATCGAATCATCATCCATGTGGGGAAGAATGATATTCGAAAAGAGCAGTCAGAACTCTTTAAGAAGGACTTTTAAGTAAGTCTACATGGACGTCCATGACATGCGGAGTCCCACAAGGCTCAATTCTTGCACCGCTCTTGTTTAGCCTGTATTTGCTCCCACTAAGTCAAATAATGAGAAAGAACCAAATTGCCTATTGTCACAGTGTCTGGTTGTGGTGCCCTGGACTGGCCACTTGAGGGCGCTCTTCCTGTTTCTTTGTTACATGTTTTGAACTCTGTTTCCCATAGTCCTTTGCCTTGTCGTTCTGTTCTGATCATAGATACCATGAAAAATTAGATTCCTGCAACCATTTTTCTGAGACTGTCTCCACTGGACATACAGCATTCACACTGATAGCTGCTCATACAGTCATACAGTGCTGATGGCCGGTCATACAGATGGTAATTATACAGATGGCCGACCATATAGTCAATAATCACACTCTATTCATATAGACCGCATTCACACTGATGGCTGTCATACACACAGTAATTACACGCTGATGTGCGGTCATACAGATTGTAATCATGCAGATACAGCCACATTCCCCACAAAACACACACATATGAAAAATGTTGAATTTTTTAAAAATTATTTGTGAAAAAAGCCGATCGCTAAGTTACGTCCCCATCAGATGACAGGTGCGTCACAGCGTGCGTCACGAGAAAGCGCCAGAATTCAAATAAACAATATTCCGCGTATCTTTGACT